AAAAAAACCTGCTGAAGAAATAAATAAATACAAGATTGTTTTATTTGTAAACATCCGATGTGAATTTGAATTTAAATTCTATTTGATCCGTAAATTCTAACTAGATTCTTAACATGTATTGCGAACCAGCTGTATATTATTCTCTAATCAATTAACAATTTAGTACAAAATAGTGTCGAAAAAGAAAACCTGTGAAAGGCAAACACGAGTATTATAAGAATTGGCACCAATTTTACATACGCAATTTTCGAATTGCTTAGAATTGTAAATATTTACCCAAGATTTGGCGGTAGAAGAAATTTGTGAAGGAAGCAGTTAATCTAAAAACGTGTCTACATTTAATTAACTTTTAGTTCTATTTAAATGTATATATTTGAATCTATTATGAGTAATTGAGACACGTTATGTTATTGATGTGACATAGGTAGAGCGAAAATTTCTTGACACTGCTAAACCCAACAGATTATACTCTACACGTTTACCCTTCTTGTGAAGGTGAATGTGACCTCAAATGAATGTGCAGCGACGTACATAATTATTGTTCATCTTATTTATCTGTTTCAAAGTTTTTCTATCATTAAGATTTTTTTTTAATTTAAAGAGATTTATATCAATTAATATTGATGTAAATCTGTTTTGGCTCTATTTCTACCTCGATTATCGGCCCCCACAAATTTTTCTTCGGATTGGATTTCCGTGATACAGGCGACTATAACCACACGGCTACGGCCGTACACTGTGGTTGCGCATCACAGGGAACACATGGCAACACACTTTTATTTATGTATCTCCTATACCATGCAATCAAATTACGTAGATGTTAACGTAATTTGATTTTCTATGAACAAACATAATTTGGAAAACTATAAATGTATAAGCCAATATAATAATTATATTTTAGCTGTGTATTATTATATTGTATGGTTTTTATAATTCAAACATAATATTATTAAATGCAGTACTTTATTATATTACCTTAATTTTATGTTTATTGAATTCAAATGTATATTATTGATTACATTATTGTTGTTATTTTGGTTGCTATCGTCAAGTATGACGCCAGTATAAATATAAGAATTAAAACTGTTTCAACATGGGTTTTGTCAATAAATCATTAATTGATACGAAACGATATTATGTTTATTATTAAACATAAAATCGACATAAGTTAGATTGCTTTCATTCTTGTATTAAAATTAGACTTTTAGTCAGATTTTTACATAGAGCAAAATTTTATTATCCAGACTTTGTGAAAAAAGGAAAGTAGATAAACTTGCTTGATGCAATTTCATTAGATATGACACATTTTTTACCGCTTGATAGTATAGATAAACGCAATTCGTGCAGAAGATTTCGTCATCTTTTTATAATACCTGATTTATTAAAAACATTATTTTGCAATAAATATTGTTATTATTTATTGTAAAAGTCACATATAAACAAATAAAAAAATATATTTAATATAATTATATAATTATATAATGAAGAAAAAATATTTAACTGTTACTTCTTACCACCCTACCTGAATATTATTTATTATTTTCACATTAAATATTATGCTATACAAACAAGGATAAATTAAAAATGCAGAAATATATGGATAAAAAAGGGGACAAATAGCGAATAATTCATTACTAAAATAATAATAACATTATGTAAATGACTAGAACAAACTAAATTATTCAACTGGTTTGAATTACATTAGAATGTTAAAAATTAACATTTGTTCTTTCGCTTTACTTCAGTGGCGTAGTTAGAAATATCGGTCAGTTTTTTTCTTTAATAAGTAGATGATGACGGGGACATGGCAAATTATGATGGGAAACAAACCCCTTTTATGCAGATCTGCTCTACTTAGTTTAGAAAATATTTGATTCTTCTACTTTATTGATTGTCCAATGACGTCGAACGCAATGATGGATTATATTTAAAAAAATAAATACAAAATATCTTCGTTCGTCAATGTTGTTACCTTCCTTGAATTCCGGTTATTATTTCCTCAATTCATTATTATTTCTTTTTTCTTAAATCTTCGTGGAAAAAAAGCTGCAAAAGATCAAGCTCGCAAGTGTACGCAAACGTTTACCTTGCGTACAATTTTAATTTATGTTATTGGTTGTAGCCTTAATATAATTCATTGTTTATATACAAAACATGTAAAAAAAATAATGCTTGTTAAATTAGTTTCCAGTTAGATGTTGATAATCATTATATTTTTTTGGCAAATGTTTTATTTGTAAAATGCATTTTTTTCCGTATATCATATTGTTATGTTAACTGTTAATTTGTTTAAAAAATATGCATTTCGTAGTTCGATTGTATTATAATGTTTTGTGGCGTGAACGCGCGAATACGAAAATATAACAAAAAGCGAAAACGCCGGCGTGTGTGTATGTGTGTGTTACATCACGACAAGATCAAGTGCGAGGTATATAAGCGATGGCCATCGGTTTTGGGGCCCGACATAATTCGCTCGACCGCCGTTCTTCTTGCTTCAGGGTAAAAATACAAAGAGACAACGACTAGAAGAGATGGACTATAGTTACTTTATAAATACACATTCGTCTAGGAGGAGACCTGCTATCACAAGGGAACTGAGTAAGAATTCGTAAAGTTGATGTACCAGTTTTTTTTAAATTTATGTTAAACTTCTGCAGCAAAGAAGCATTACAATGCTCCTAAAGGTGCCATCTCCTTGGCCGAGGGTATGCCCAACGAGATGACGTTTCCTTTCGAAAACATCAACGTGAATTTGAAGGATGGCTCCACGTTCAGCATCAGCGGACCAGAGTTGGGCGCCTCTCTCCAGTACATCCCGACACAGGGTTATCCGCAACTTCTGCAGAAATTGAAGGAATGGACCTTGTTTTCGCACAATCCTCCGAACTGGGATAAGAGAGAGGTTCTGGTCACAAGCGGCTCGCAGGATGGCATCAGCAGGTCCATCGAAATGTGCATTAGCGAAGGAGATGCTATGCTTGTTCAAGAACCTTTCTACGCGGGAACAGAGGCCGTGGTAAGACGTCAAATCTAAAGGAAAAAACATCAAATCATTAGTTTCGTTGTCTTCCAGCTAAAATCTTTTAAACCGAAACTCTTAGCAATAGAACAGGATGAGTATGGCATGATTCCGGAAGTTTTTGTGAGGGTGCTGGAAAACTGGAAGGTCAAGTGCGATGAGAACAACGCACTTAGGATGCCCAAATTACTGTACATCAATCCAACTGGTGAGTTTTGTTTGTTGAAAAAGTTAGTGCTCGCGCGAAAAATGGAAGAAGAAGATAAATCACAGATTATCTTAAATTGAATAAGTACTTTGCTGTATACGTAGTTTAACTGCCGGACGTTACGTTCAGTAAATCGCTCTCTAAATGATGTCCTCATTCAAGCTCAAGTTCACGGGATTCATAATTTCAAGATCATCGTTTGAATGTAATCATTTATCAATGAGAACATACAACTATATGCATATTTATTTGTTTATAGCATAATTCTTAATACCAATAGTTGTATGTTAATTTATGATATTTGCAATTAATCAAGCGGCGGTAACTGGAGAAATTGTATAAAACACACGCTAAGTGAAGTGTGTTGAGGCGTAAAGAAGAATTTATGATATTGAATTAATTCAAAAATACTGATTATTTCAAATTAATTTCTTTTAGAACACGGAGACTATTTTCGCTTACATGGTTTCTTTAAATAAATATCTATTTAAAAAAGACAGATAAGAGTATCTTTTATGCAACCAATTTTACAATATGGTTCGATGACGCAAAGAAGATTAACGTGGGAGTCGCGTGAACTCTGACATTTGACTCGTTTCTTCCTGACGAAATTACTCAGAAATTAATTAGACTATGATAAGCATAATATTGCTAATGCCAATGATTACTTCAAGCATATTTATTATTTCCTTGTTTTAAATTTTTCAGCATCGAATCCAACAGGAACTACGATGTCTTTGGAGAGACGAAAAGAAATCTATAGCATCTGCTGCAAATACAACATTCTGATCTTAGAAGATGACCCGTACTACTTTTTGAACTTTAGCGATAAACTGACCCCGTCATTCTTAGCTTTGGATACGGAAGGTCGGGTGTTGCGCTTCGACTCTTTCAGCAAGGTCCTCTGTCCTGGTCTAAGGATTGGTTGGTTGACCGGACCCAAGCAGCTGGTGCAGAATGTTGAGCTACACATTCAAAGCTCGTACTTGCACTCCAGCACCTTGAGCCAAGTGAGTAAACTCGTTTGCGCAACTTACCATCTGGCCACAGACGCCGAATTGCTTCAAATTGAATAATCTCGGCGTGCCAAATTTAATTTTTTGGCACGTTTCTTTTTATTTATAATGAGAGATTATATATAGAATGGGAAGAATGACGTCTCAATGTTTCGTTTATTTTAAGGTCATAACGTACAATCTGCTAAACAATTGGGGCTTCGAAAAGCTTCTGGATCACATGAGTTCGGTGAGAGAGTACTACAAAGGAAGGCGCGACCTAACATTGGCCGCTATGGATGAACATTTGACAGGACTCTGTGAATGGACGGTCCCGGATGGTGGCATGTTCGTCTGGATTAAAGTAAAAGGGATTAGTGATGTCTACGATATGTTGATGACTCGCGGCGAGAAGAAATTGATCACTTTCGTCCCAGGCCACTGTTTCATGTCCGACCCTGCAGCTGCTTGCAATTTCATTCGAGCCTCTTACAGCAAAGCCGCCCCACAACAAATCGAACAAGCTATGAAACTCTTGGCCGAATTGATCAGGGAAGAGAAGGATCTGATTAACAAGAAATTGGAAAATTTTACGTAATTCGCAATTAACATATAATTCGCTAAATAGAACTGGAACTTATAGTTTAGTCAATCAACGTTCTCAAAGTTAGATAGTTCGTTCCAGTTTTTAATTACAACTAATACCAGACAGGAACATCGTGATTATTCTCATTTTATTCGTATTTAGTATTATTAACATTTAATATTTTTTGTTGATACTCTGTTATTTGCACGATTTTATAAATCACCAGTAATTCCATTTAATTTTATTACGGTTGTTTATATATTTATATTTTGTAGTTTTAAGTCTACCAAAAACATGTTTTAATTGTACATAATTGTTCAAAATATTAAATAAAGATGATATCTAATTTTAATTAACTTGTGTGAATCATTATTAAATTCAACAATATTGGTAATGTAAGACATAATTACATCAATAATATTTAAGGCTCTGATTCAATGCTTGTTCATTATTACATCATTGATATCGTATTTCTATATTCAAGAAGGTTTCGTTCAAAACGAGTTATATGGGTTGCATATATATACTATTAAAAATTAAAAACAATATTCAATTCCTAAACCTAAAACGTATTTTTATCGTAAACTGTTGCAATTTTTGGATGTACGCATTGAAAAAATATTTAAGCTTTCAGTAGAAATACATTGAAGTATTTACACATATATAAATTGTATTAATCTAATTCCTAAATAAATTGTAATACATGCATTTATTATTAACATTAGATAAATAATTAATAAATAAGAAATTAGTGTAATATCAAAGTGCTCTCATTTTTAAATAAATACTTTCAACTTTGTAAAATATTAAGTCGTTTAGAAACGGTAAATAAATAATGTTTTCTTCGTTTTAATTTCATAGTAACAGTATCTAATTGAGAAGAGGCGAAAAATAGTATATTATTTTATTTGCGTTGGTGGAGATATTTTTGTTCTGTAGAATATGCGAAGGGAACGATGGCGGCAGGAGTGAGCGTAATTCGGAATCGGGAAATAAACGGCCGTTAAAATTCCGGCAGTGTTTATAATGGCTTTCGCACACAAACGAAAGCTTATATCATATTTATATCTATGTCTATATAGATACGATGGTATGGAATGAGTGGGTATGTGTTGGATACTATGTATGTGTATGTGCGGTCGAAAGGACCGGGGAATGGATGCGAGCTGAGCTCTGATCCCGCCGGAGAGTTATGTATCTTGTAGATTTATGTATAAAGTGTAATTCCGGTAAATCCGGGACCGGAGTTAAGCCGCCCGGAGTGAAACACGATCCGAACGTGTATCTCTATGTGTATTTTGTCCTAACATTGCCACTGGCTGTGTCCGATTGCAACCCTACAATATGCACCATCCTAAATCACAGTTCCTGTGCATTAACTAATTATGGATACACACATTTCGGCATGTTAATCATAAGAATTGATATATTCTATTTCTTATGCTGCACATTAATGACTTTTCAATCACAAAAACTTTGCACTTCTTACATTTACAAAAAAAGGTTTACATTATATTATTGTATATAAGTTTGTAAGAGATGATAAGATTTGTCCTTCAAAGGCGTTACTAAATGGTCAAATTGAGTACATCATACATATTTAATTGTATTGTTCCAAGCAAAGAAACATTATTCGACTTTATATGTAATTACTTTGGCTTTCCACCAATGTTTGGATTTGCAATAAAGCAATTAATCAAATAAAATTGATGAAGATTTATTGCTGCTTAGAGAATGATGATTGATCAAATCTGTTCTATCTCTATATATTTTTTTTTTCTGAAAAATGCTTGTGTTGCATGTATGGTTACGTAAATACGTAATATATGTATAATATTTCGGTGTATGAAAATAGCCGAGCCGTGCGCGTAAGATTTATGCAGTGGGTAATTTAAAAGTTTATTCAGGGTGGAAATCCATTAGAGAGGTGACGTGAAAAGCAGGGAGGAGCGTTTCTATATTAATTAAGGGCCACCTGTCAACCGGCCGTCCCGCGGCCCATGATGGATGACTTTCTGGCTCTGCTCTTGCCTTGCCGCCTCCGATGCTGCCGCCACCGACACCGCTTCCACAGACTGCTCTTGCAGCGTGCTTTTTATCGGCAACGGCAGAAGCTAGTCCCTAAAAGTTCCGACTCGCTCTTCCTCTTTGACTTGAATGTCAAACCAGGAAATTCGTACCACACTAAATGGACCAAAGTTAGAGAAACTTTTTTGATTGATATATACCCTTATTTTCAGTTCATTATAATAATAATAATAATATAGCAATAATTAATATAAGTATTAGAAAATACATTAGACATAAACAAGCCAATGCCACTTGGCGAAAGTCGGCACAAACTTTACGTTGGGTGCTGTTCCCGAAAATTTGCTTAAATTTCGGAATGTTTGTAAAATCATAGGATTCTATCGTTCTCGGCTTTAGTGAATAGCGATTTATATATACGTTTCATAGTACGTGTCTTCGTACCTATCATTATTTTAATAAACTATAATTTATTTCTCCTATCAAAATATCATCAATTTCGATGATATTTTGCCGTTTTTAACTTCTTCCATAGATTTATGGGGTGTAATTATTGTATTTGCTAAATAGAGCCTTAATAAAGATTTTCTAGGAAAGGGAGAAGTTTTACACTTGTACAAAGTCACTAATTTTCGATTTCCATTCTATATCATCAAAGAATACTTTTCTTTTAGATATTTAGCGGTGAAGAAAATGTTTGATTTTGAATAGTTATTTTCTCGGTACTTTTCCCAGATAAGTAGCTGCCTACTATCAGTAATATAAGTGAGAATGAAGTAAATTTTAGAACATCCGATTAGGTTTGTTATGAATTGTATTCATAGCCTGTAGTAGGGATCCACAGTATTTTAGTATGTTAATAAAAAAATGTTTCAACTTAAAGCAATATTGTTTGTGACGTGTGCATCATTTGGTAGTGGTGAGGTATCTTGATATTAAAACGTGGCCGGTTTAATTTCGCTGGCTTTCGGTGTGTGTGCAGGTAATGCGAGATGAAGGGTAATAGTTTTATATTGATATATTCCCAAGTGTAATTGAGTGCTCATGTCAGTATCAATAAATCAGGGCTGCAAACATATTGCGGATCAGCCGGGGATCAACTAAGGGTTGAAGATAATGAGAAGAACAGATACGATATGTATGAGTGAGCGAGAGAGACATGCTTAAGAGTGAGGGCGGAGAGTCACGTGCGCCGCATTTAGCAGCAGCAACGCTCGTGCACACCGTCCGCCGCCCCCACGTATACCTCCTATGTGGAGGCCTTGGAAGATTCCTTTTTCCTTTAATCAACGATATAACCTATACCACGCTACTACTGTTCTCCCTTCGTCAGGACAATATTAAACATAGATCAAGTATCGGCTGGTTGCACCGAATCTGAGCGGAAAAATAAACCATTATTTCATTGATCGATCGATCTTTTACATGTTTTATTTTTGAACAATTTACTACAGACTTTGTTATTGGTCCTTCAATTATTGTGATATTGATTTAATTATCCGAGTAATTGATGATGGCAATAATCCAATTCTTTTCGTTGTAATCGGATGAAATGCTCCGTTTTAGGGTTAATCTGGAGCAGCTGTCTGGCCCCTTGTTTATTATGAATTCGTCGAGGAAGAGGGCGTCCGCTAATCTGATGATCAGCCGAAACTAATCAAAAAGAAAGCGCACGGTGGATGGGGAAAAGAATAACAAATCTGGGGCGGCCGGGGGTCTGCCACGTACATGCATATATTTTATATATTTATTGCCCCCCGCCGCTTAAGCCCCCGCATAATCTTTTCGCCTTTTAATATTCATGCGATACCCCGGGTTGCATTCGACGCATTATTAAGTTTTCGGATTGAACCCTCCGCAATAACCTTTTCTGTGGTAGAAAACAAACTCGTGCACTTACGACATACTTTTAATAATAAGTATCAACGCTTAGCATACTTATATTCTTGATTACACGTGTTCAAATTTATAATACGAATTTGTTGCGTAATATGCAAATTACATGATTGGTTACGATAAGTACAATTTAATTGTATTCATTTTTCAATTGATATCGAAAAAAAAAGGTTAGGTTACTATAATAATGTGCAACATATCTTTTGATAATATCCTGTATCTGAATAGTTCTTCAAAAGTCAGAATTAAAAATGTTTTCTCTATGAAATTAGTACGTTTTTGATTAAAGCTGCAATTTGGGTCGAGTATAATATAAATATAAATCGTTTTGATTCTTGCAATTAAAGTAATTGCAATTCGAGCAATTAAATAAGTTATTTGTTTGATGCGCGTGCATGTACGAACAATTAGAGCCTAATGGAAGTGTAATTTTGATTTGATGTTTCTTTCGCCCTCCCTCATGGTCACCAGGGTCGCGTTCGGAATGGTAGACAAAAGGGCATAAAAGCATAAGTCATCGCCGCAAATACCAGTAGGCAATATGAAAACCCATTACGGGCCGTTTCGGCTGCTTGTGTGTGTATTTGTGTGTGCGGTTGCGGCTGCGGCGGCGGCGACGGGAAACTCACTATATAGTGAAAACCCGGGGGCAGATTTTCACGCTTTATATCCTCCTTTATTTCCACACTTTTATTTTACGATTATACATCGTGCCCCTCGCATTTATATGAAGGAGGGAAGAAGTTAACAAAAAAAAAAACTGAACGAATAAGATATATAAAAATAGCGCAATTGTAAATCGATTATTATTATTATAGTTGATGTTTTACAGTTAATTTAAGCAATCTGAAGAATATAATAAGTAGACACGAATGGCAATCATCTTTTTTTTCTATTTCATAGTTTCAACATTACATAAAATAATTTAAAAAGTCAAGTCAACGATTCAAAGAGCTATTGACCATTGATCTTTATGCCCTGTCTATGTAACTATTATTGAAGTCTAATCAGTAAATAGATTAGTTACGGAAATATATCTGAGATCGTTTAACATTTGTTCATTTGTTATATTTTTAACTGTCCTAAAGTGGATAACAAAATGTACTGAAATTTGCAATCTGCAGAATCGAACAATTTATTTAGCATAAGTGTGTTTTGGGTTTTTGTTTGTTAGTTAATGAATGCTAAATAATTATTATAAAATAATGAATGTCCGGCGGAGGGGTGAGGGTTGGTTTGGGACGTGAACGAGTTTTACAAATTAATGGAATAATGGATTTCGACAATTTGTTTTACAAACCCGCCTCTCGCTTTT